ACAATAATAATAATAAAGGACAATAATAATAATGAAGGACAATAGTAATAATAATAAAGGACATTGTCTCCTGCTGTGGTGATTCAGCCACTCCAGGTGGGAATGTGGAAGGAGTTAAAAAAAGAGAAGTGAAGCAGGAGGCTAAAAATATAATCCAAGTGCAAACAAATTGCCTCAGGGGGGTGGTTCCCACCAGGAAAAGTCTTGGAGGGGGGTGAGAGGCAGAGGGAAAGGCAGCAGGAATGCAAATGGAGGCAGGTTTTATAGGTTAGAAATCAGGGATTCACTGAGTTATAAAATGCAATATATATATTTATTATGTGGAGTTCAGGGTGAAGAAGTGGCCAAATTAATCTGGTGGATTTAGGCTTGAAATCCTTCTTAACCAGAGAATCCTGGAACGGGTTGGGTTGGAAAGCACCTGGAGGATCATTTAGTTCCAACCCCCTGCCTCGTTCATGGTCTGCCCAGAGGGGAGGATATTCCACTTACAAAGTTCAACAGCACGAGGCCCTCACGAAATACGACTTTTTCCAACAAATCCGCCTTTCCAAGCCCTTCCTTTCTCCCTCACAGAGCACAAACCTGTGTTTCACCGGCTCCTCCCCCCCAAAAGAGGCCAAAATGGGTGTTAAAAGGAGCATCAGAGAGATTTTGCTGCGACCCCCCCCCATCTCAGCCACGGAGAGGTTGGAGAACCTTGGGCAGAAAATACCTGGGAGAGACACCGGAGTTTTATTCCAGACACCAGCTGGAAAAACCAGTAAAACCTGTATGAGCTCATGTGGGGGGAATGTCATTATTTTCACACAGACAGGATTTTTTTTTTTTCCTCTTTTTTTTTTTTTCTTCTTTTTCCCCCCTCTTTGGTTTTTATTCTGAAGCAGAGCAAAACTCCGGGATAACCCAGGATGATCCTTGTTCCCTGCCCCTTCCCAATTCCCCCCTCCAGCCTTTCCCCTGCTCTGGATGGGCTGATTTGACCCAAACTGGCCCTACTGGTTATTTAGAGCAAAAAAAAAAAATCATTTTTATGGAGAATACTTTTCCCTGTGGAGTAAATCCCACTTGCTTCCATCGGATTTCCTTCAGGGCTATTTTTCAGCTGCAGGCTCGGAGGGTTTTGTGCTGCAACAACAAATCCCTGGATGGGCTGTTTTGGCTTGGAGGGACCCCCCAGCTCCATAAAATCATCAGCCATCCCCAGCCTGGGGCCCAAAGTCCAGCAGGGCTCTGCTCTCCCTCTCCCATGGGGAATTCTGAGTGTCCCATCCAGCAGAAAAGAGCCAGTCATTTTGCCACTTATTTATTTTGCTATTTATTGTGCTATTTAATTTGCTATTTATTTATTTTGATGGCTGTGCCGATAATTAAACCCGGAAGCTTTTTCCAGGACTTTAAATAAATAAATAAATAAATAAATAAAAAATAAATAAATAAATAAATAAATAAATAAAAAGCCCGTTTTCTCCATTTTCTGAGCTGTTGTTGTGAGGCTGAAGTGCCTCCCATGTTGTTCCTTAGGATTCCCTTCTCCTGGCCACGATTTCCGTGGGGATGAGGTGTCTGGCTGTGGGATGGAGTTCACACTGGAGGTGAATTATCTGGGAAAGGTGCCTTGGATCTCTCCCGAGTTGTGCCTTTATTCCTGCAGGCCTGGAGAGGAGCAGGACCCCCCTCCCAGGGAGCTCCTGGAGAAACCACGGGCGTGGAAAACGCTCGGCAGGGGGGTCGGAATGAGGTGGTCCTGGGGGTGCCTTCCAGCCCAAACCACTCCAGAATTCCATGAAAACCAAAAAACTCCATCTGAACCAGCAGAGGAGAGCCCAGATGTTTCCTTGGCTTTGTTCTGTTTGGTGTGACCCCAGGTTTCCACCAGCATCACTCAGCTCCCTGCCCCAAGAACCTTCCCGTCGGATCCTGCCGTGCATCCACGGGATATTTATTCCCCTCCGGCCCGAGGGGAATCTTTCCTTCCTCTGGGCAAAGCCAACTGCTGTCAGGAGGAAGGAAGGAGGAGGCTGAGGGTCCTGGATGAGATTCCATCACCTCCTGGAGAGGTGGAGCTGCCAGGGCTGAGTCAGACACATCCCAACAACGCGGGAGCGTTTTCCTCCTCGTCACTGGGAAGGTGGGAATGGTCATCCCAGCCCTGATCCCACTGACACAGGATAACAGGAATGGCCATCCCAGCCCTCATCCTACTGACACAGGAATGGCCATCCCAGCCCTCATCCCACTGACACAGGAATGGCCATCCCAGCCCTGAT